GTCACTGCTTTAGGTAATGGACAGAAAGATCTTCAGCATTTTTTACCAGCCTGTAATTTGAAGATAATTTATAATATGTTGATTGTAATCGGACACATTCATTAAAACTTCAGTAACGTCGTGGCTACAGACGTTAGTACAGACGTCTCTGTCACCGTCTACTAAAGCGACCAGCCTCCATTACAATAGCGACCTAGACAGGATTTGATGGGATACTGCCCTATAATCTCTATCGTATCCCCAGGGGCTCGAAACAATGATTATACACCTCCAATGAAAATTCCATATGTTGTATACAAACACTGTCAATAAAAACAACAATTAAATTATCTACTATAGTATATATCTGTCCTATATACTCCCAACATTAAATTTGATTATAACTCAGTAGTAAGTCTCAGGTGAATTACACATCCTGTATTTCCACTTTGGACATTTTTATAGATATATAGCATTACTGGTAACCTCAGACTTGAATACAGGATGACATGCACATTTCCTACCTAATAACTCACGTAATTATCCTAATTTCTTTTTTAAGTATACCCGAGGAAAATAGACTGTTTAAAATGGCTTGATCAAACAGCAGAAGAGGTCAATAGGTCAAATACTGCTTCTTATCAGTCTTCATTTGAGATCTTTTTAAGTGAAAATTTATCAATTATCTTTAATGGAATGATTAGAAGAAATTTAGACTTTAAATGATTAAAATCTTCAAACATCAAAATCTCAGCTCAGATTAGTGTTCAATCATTATTAACAAGGTGAATATACCATAATTAAAACTATAGGGAAGTTTCTTTATTCATAATTCTGATGGGTGTGTTGCCTTGTAACACAGGGGCTTGATGGTCTGTACTTATATTGTCCCTAAGTAACACAGGGGCTTGATATCCTGTTCTGATATTGTCCCTAAGTAACACAGGGGCTTGATATCCTGTTCTGATATTGTCCCTAAGTAACACAGGGGCTTGATATCCTGTTCTGATATTGTCCCTAAGTAACACAGGGGCTTGATATCCTGTTCTGATATTGTCCCTAAGTAACACAGGGGCTTGATGACCTGTTCTGATATTGTCCCTAAGTAACATAGGGGCTTGATATCCTGTTCTGATATTGTCCCTAAGTAACACAGGGGCTTGATATCCTGTTCTTATATTGTCCCTAAGTAACACATGGGCTTGATGACCTGTTCTGATATTGTCCCTAAGTAACACAGGGGCTTGATATCCTGTTCTGATATTGTCCCTAAGTAACACAGGGGCTTGAAGACCTGTTCTGATATTGTCCCTAAGTAACACAGGGGCTTGATATCCTGTTCTGATATTGTCCTAAGTAACACAGGGGCTTGATGACCTGTTCTGATATTGTCCCTAAGTAACACAGGGGCTTGATATCATGTTTTGATATTGTCCCTAAGTAACACAGGGGCTTGATATCCTGTTCTGATATTATCCCTAAGTAACACAGGGGCTTGATGACCTGTTCTGATATTATCCCTAAGTAACACAGGGGCTTGATATCCTGTTCTGATATTGTCCCTAAGTAACACAGGGGCTTGATGACCTGTTATGATATTGTCCCTAAGTAACACATGGGCTTGATGACCTGTTCTGATATTGTTTCCTCAATGACACATGGACCTGCCATATACACTTTGTACAAAGGTTTACTTAGGGCCCACATAAGTTTACACATCCTGCAGAGGTACTACTACCAAAATTCTATTATTAGCTCCAACCACCAATGATCACAAAAGCCTTGTGCCTTAATTGACCAATATACTGGCCACTGCTGACCCATTGTTTGAGGTACAGAATGGTGTGACATACAATTAGCTAACCGCCTAACCAGGGGGTGACTCAATTGTCTACAAATATTCCCAGCTAGTCACATACCTGTACAAGTATTAGTTTAATTTTCAATAACATGCGGTGAACAAAACCATGATACTCCTGTAAGGTATGTGTGAATCACAGCTATTAACTCGTCACATTTTAGGGAACGGTTTGAAAACTACTCAACCAAGAACCAAATCGTGTACTAACGGAAATGTCTCAAATGGGTATTTGTACTACGTCACATTTGTGAGTGTGTGCATTTCTAATTCACATCTAAAATTTGTCTGTCATATTCATAAAACTCCCATACAGGGGTTAAGCAACATTACAAAAACAAAATTAAAATTTTTTTTTATAGTTGTGATATGCATTACACAATCCCACAAGTAGATGGGGGTAAGTGATAGAGAGTTTGAAGTGTAGATCCTTTCCGTACCAGGCAGAAAAAATATACCACAGGGAGACACTGCCTAGGTTTCCTTACGAAATTTCAATTTGTTAATTTTCTATATAATACCATTTATAAATATTTAATGCCTTGAATGTACTGGATGACTTTTACTGATAAATGTTTGCAGACACTCATACCAGAGTCGGCATGATCTGTAGCAGATATGTGATTTGTGTTAGAGATTAAGCAGTAATAACCACGTCAGTGTATTTTCTAATCACTTACACAAGGTGTAACTTCCTAACACATCTTATCATCCTCTCCATCAGTTCATTTTATGAACTTGTCAAAACTGATAACCAGCAAATCAAAATGAGTCCTTTCGAAGCCCATGACATATGGTGTCTGGACAGAAGTGCTAATAACAATACCAAATTATGTGATTTCACATAATTTTGTATGAAATTTATAGAAAGGTAATCAAATGATACTGATAACTGTGAAAGATTTAAATAGGAGACATATCTGAAGCTTGGAAATTTATTCAAATTCATACTGAAATTTGGCTGTAAAATTTCCCAAAATAACAACTACAAATTAATCATTGTTTAGCGATATTGAATATGACAAGTAACGGTCCACAAATTTCATAAGATTTTATCAAATGTTAATTTTGACATCCACAATGTTTGATAAAATATTTCTAATGTCTGTTCTAGATTGTAAGAGAATTAATTTATTACAGTGACAACAAACAAAAAAAATGTCACATGTTTTTAGAGATCGTGAAGAGAAAACCCGAACGGTTTATGAAATGAACAAATATAATGTCTCTGGACTTAAAACCTGGTCACTGAACTCGTAGTTAAAGAGAATATAATTTTTTTTAAAATAATGCAGCGCCCCCTGGTGGAGGTAATGATACATTCTAAAATCTCATTTTCAAAATATGTTAAATGTCATAGAGAAATGATGGGAAAGACAATGACCCTATCGGTCAGAGTTTACAGGATTTATTTCAACAAATTTCATGAGAACACTGATATTTGAAACTTGACAAAATACTAATTTGAAAATTTCTGATTCGGTTTTGTATTGGTGGGTAGATTTAAAACGATGGAAGTGCTAGCTGGTACGGACACATGATACATTTAACTATAGAGGCAGTCCGTTTACTGCCAGATTGCCGAGAGATAAAAAAAAAGTTGTATGCTAATTAAACTTGACATGTTGACTTGTCAGATTTCCTACTTTTAGAAGTTGATATTTAATGATTTAGTTAACTTTACATAAATTGACTGAAATAAATTCCAGTTTAAGAAGTTGATATTTAATGGTTTTGTATATGAATGTCTAAAAAAAGAACTTTTAGACATTGATGTTTTACCGTTTAGTTAACGTATGGAGATAAATTGAAATCAAATTCCGCAAGACACTTCATTGGTAGGTAATAATCCGGTAGGTCCCTTGATAGAGTTACAAGAAATGAAGTGGTGACATTATCCTGTACAAAGTAACAAAACTTGTTAAAGTTACGTGAAAACATTACCAGATCCGATTCAGAAAGATAAGCCTCATGTTGGGTATCAGATAGGATAATTTCACATTGTGGCCGGATCAGCAAGGGTATAATATCTCCTAGTGGGTGGGTTCGGTCAGCCCACTAGTACAGAGTCAGTCAGGCATGACTGCTACTTCTAAACATCCCAACACTAGACAAGTGCAAGTGTTTCCGATTCAACACGGATATCTCACATTTTAAATCTTTTGTCTTTAAATAAGGTGTGAAATTCAGGAAGATGATCGAAACCACACCTACGTCATAGCGTTTAGGTTCAAATGACACATAGTGTAAAAGGCAAAATTCTCTGACAAAGATGACTGAAGAATACATTTATATAACACCTACGTCATAGAGATCGCGCATACGACAACTGTTCTAGACGAAAAATCTTCCTTATTCTACCGTATACAGATTGCCAATAATATCAAAACTTCAATGAAACATTTCAAATATTACCGTTCTTATTGGTTTTTATACAAACTGTAAGGTCTGTTTGGGAGGACATATACCGTCTTTTAAAACATTTCTGATTGAACAAGACAGAAATATGTCTTGATGAGAACCTATCAGATTAAAAGCAAAGGTCAGTGAGTACACCGTAGCTTTCTTGCGTGTTCAACGAATCCATTACAGGAGATGACGGTCTCAGAATCTGGTTTGAATTTGATATTATGCCTTAAGTTACTAACAGGAGATTGTTTCTTTATCGTCTTACAACTTTTTACAAACTGCACATGTACCGATCAATAAAAATGTTACTATGACTAAGGAAAGTTGAAAAATATTAATATTTCTCATGAAAAACTGTCATAAAAAGGATGAAAAAACCTACAAGAAGATAACGAATGAGCAATAAAACTTAAGTTTTATGAGCCACAATTGGTATCGATGGAAACTGATCTTGTTTCTCTCTCATTCTGATTTTAACATAACGTTATCTTACATGTGAAATAACACAACTTTCTAAAGCTTTAACAAGAAATTTCCACAATTTTCAATTTCATTTTTAAAACTCGATCATAAAAACTGCTCCAAGAGCAGTTAAGGAAGATCTTTCTGTAAACATTTTTTACGAAGATGAAAGGGAAGTGTTTACAATTGATGGATATTTTTTTTCCTTTAACGTAAAGGAAAAGAGGAAACCCACATCACGCAGTTGGCCCTGTATATTTTTTCCAGTAAATAGGAAGTTTGATAGACTTACCTCGACAAAGGTAAAGTAGAGTGGTGATACACAGAAGGTGGGCGTTACACAAACTCCCCCTCACCATCTTCATTTTCTCTGTCCAAGTCCTACTTGCATCCTGTCTCTACCTTCCTATCCTGGAAAACAAAAAAAAATCAAGATGTAAATAAAACCCAGCTTTTTTACTTTAAGATAGAAATTCATAAAAGCAAACAAAAACTAAGAAAATTCATGCCTGGCGGTAGAATGGAGCATGGCCCCCACCCACTATTACAAGAGGCATACAGTTCTAAATTATAAAGATAATACCGGGATATGTTATCTGGTTATCTGAAGTACAACAAAATTTCACAAACTATTCCATAAATGTTTATATAACAATCAAACCTGTTTGACTATGGAGATATCCTGGTCAGCGTAATATCTGACAGGTTACCGAGAATTAAAGAATGGCAGGAACTACAAAAAGGATCAAAGAGTTTACCAGATCACAACAAACCATATTTCTAACAACTTTCCTACTGTTTTTTGGGGGTTTCACTGTACAGTGAACCCTCCACTGAGAACCACTACAGTTAGATGAGGATATAATCCCTAACAGGAGCAGAATAGTCAAAGTCAATGGTAAGCTTGTAAGTAGGCATAATTGGCTACATTCGTTACAAAGGTACAATTGATCTTGATGAAATTATAAACTGTATATGGTACGTTTGTTCGCTGCTATAATCAGCTTTTCGCAATTATGCGCTAAGCTTTGTGGGTGGAGTGTTTCTCCCTCTCCTTCCAGGGCTTTGGGCTCACCAACCTCAAATTTCTGATTCGGTGCCATTTGTAATAGCCCTGCTAAATGAGTGTAATTCTGTACAGCCTTCATACATCTCTATCTCCTCACACCATAGGCACTTCCAAGAATGTCAGGATGTGTGAAAACATTTGCATGAAAAGATTTCTTAATAAACACTATTTCTGTTGGGTATTAAGACCTAATGTGAACCATGCTGTTTTCCCAGCTTTCCATACTTTTGCCACTGTGGTTGATTTAGCAGAGATGCCACCAAATCAAATCCTTTTCACTAGAAACATGACAAGCTTCGGCCAGATCAGTCTCGATCTAGCCTCATTTAGATGGTGATAAAAGTGCCACGAGCCCAGCAAGACTAATATCGGATGATTACTTCAACTTACAACATCTCCATGAATAAATATGTGAAGCCTATATTATATACAAAACATGTCTGTCACACACATGCAAATACACATGCTTTCCATACAGAACATCTGACATTCATTTCCGTTTTTCTCCAGAGAAGGAATAAATTTTTAATCAACCAATCAAAATGATAGATTCTTAGTGAGCATACCAGCAAGGTACCAAGACAATCATAGAATGGTATGAAGGAAACACCACCGTTACCTTGGTTACCAGGGACCAAATTTCATAGACCAATTCTACCTTGTTGCCAAGGACCAATTATCTATACCAACTACCATGTTACCAAGGACCAATACCAATATATTATTATCACCATGGTTACAAGGAACCAATATGTATACCATTGTTACTCAATCACAGTTGCCATGGTTACCCGAGGCACCAATCTCAATCCCGTCACTATGATCTTTTCCAATTTTTCACAAACTAAGATCCATTGCCTATAATCAAGATATCTGCCAATAGGGAATGTTCTGTAATATCTATATATAACACTTGTATTTTACAGCACAAATAATAATGGGACCAGAAACTGAAGATATAGTCATATTTCAATGTTCTCAGTAAAACACAGAGATAAGAGATAACCAGATTGGCTGCTGGTGCGGTTTTTCCGTATCTACTCTAAGAGAAATGAAATATTGAACATGTCTGGAACTAATATAATTTTCTGAGAAATTGGAATGGATTGCTTCCACTATATATACAACAAGGCTATAAATAGGTCCTAGTTCGGCATGATTTGGTGATATTGGAGATGTCCTTCTGTTGCTTATATCCATCACAGTAGACCCAAGGTATCAGACAAATTGGATCCCCACCTCGGATCCCTGTCTACGATCCCGACCTCGGATCCCTGTCTATGATCCCAGCCTTGGATCCCTGTCCACAATCCTTGCCTCGGATAACTGCCTCATGTTAGTTAGATTTCTCCAAACTCAACAGAAACCTCATGTTTTTCCCATCAGAAACCTTGCACTTAACATGTACTTCAAGATATGAATCAGAAAAGTACAACATTTGTCGCTGGTATCTATAACCTTCTCCTTCCCTTTTCCTTTCTCTCTCTCCAGATAGACATCTATTGACATCACACTCTCCGCCCTTAAATGATGTATTCCATCTTTCCCTTCGTAGTGACATTAGTAAATGGCCTCTCCCACCTGTCCCTACCCTGAAGATCCTTTCCATCTTCTAGACAGCTTTATTCTCCTCTTCCCTTCATTTCCCTCCCAATCTCCAATACAGCATTACAAGTTCTTTTTTATCTTGCCCTCCCGGAACACTCCACCTCCTATGCTATGCAAGTTTTTTCTCTCCCACAGCCCTCGGTTATGTGGTTACAAGTCTGAGTTCGTGTGTAGCCACTAAACAACACTTAAGATATAAATCTCAATCAAATTCAATATTTCTACTTCATCAATGTCCTGTGTTTTTTACCACTCGATGATGTTTCTCCTATTTCGCCTAGATTACCATGATAATCCTTAATCTGCACTATACTTACTTTATCCTCAGGGCCAGTAGTCGCCATGTTTATAAAATAATTGAAAACACACTCCAAACAAACCATAAATATTCCCTAAATATCCTTGATTTTAGAAGTCCATTATCACCACAGATTCTAGAATTTATAAACACACAATTTATTCTCTGCACCTGAGCTCCCCTCGACTGAGAGATTCAGAAACTGATAGATGGAAAGTCTTGAAATCTCATCGTGTCTAGTTTCAGACAACTTTCTCAACGTCAAAACAGAACCCTCTATAATAATCTAAGTGCTTCTGGTTTGAATTTCTACCGATTTTCTCAAGTCAAAATGTTTAACTGCAGAATATGTTTAAGTGTACACCTATATATACACTGTGATAAAAATGGCTGAAGGTTTGTTTAACAACGCTACATATTCTAAAACTGTTCTGCTGTTTATTGATTTCCAGAGGCATAAACTTATAATAATAATAATGTTATACTGACATTCAACTGTATTATTGTACACTGAAACATCATCTGTACTACAGGACCTTGTCATACTGTTCCTTTATGGTAAATCTTGTAATACTGACAATTAATGGTAGAATTTAACCTTATTTTATAGAAACCTTGCTACACTGATACTTTCAGTTAAACCTTGCTACACTGTCACTTTCAGTTAAACCTTGCGACACTGACACTTTCAGTTAAACCTAACTACACTGACACTTTCAGATAAACCTTGCTACACTGACACTTTCAGATAAACCTTGCTACACTGACACTTTCAGATAAACCTTGCTACACTGACACTTTCAGATAAACCTTGTTACACTGACACTTTCAGATAAACCTTGTTACACTGACACTTTCAGTTAAACCTTGCTACACTGACACTTTCAGATAAACCTTGTTACACTGACACTTTCAGTTAAACCTTGCTACACTGACACTTTCAGGTAAACCTTGTTACACTGACACTTTCAGCTAAACCTTGCTACACTGACACTTTCAGATAAACCTTGTTACACTGACACTTTCAGCTAAACCTTGCTACACTGATACTTTCAGTTAAACCTTGCTACACAGTCGCTTTCAGTTAAACCTTGCTACACTGTCACTTTCAGTTAAACCTTGCGACACTGACACTTTCAGTTAAACCTAACTACACTGACACTTTCAGATAAACCTTGCTACACTGACACTTTCAGGTAAACCTTGTTACACTGACACTTTCAGCTAAACCTTGCTACACTGACACTTTCAGATAAACCTTGTTACACTGACACTTTCAGATAAACCTTGCTACACTGACACTTTCAGATAAACCTTGCTACACTGACACTTTCAGATAAACCTTGCTACACTGACACTTTCAGATAAACCTTGCTACAGTGTCACTTTCAGATAAACCTTGTTACACTGACACTTTCAGCTAAACCTTGCTACATTGACACTTTCAGATTTCAGCTTTCAAAAACCTTGCTACACTGACACTTTCAGATAAACCTTGCTACAGTGTCACTTTCAGATAAACCTTGCTACACTGACACTTTCAGATAAACCTTGCTACACTGACACTTTCAGATAAACCTTGCTACACTGACACTTTCAGATAAACCTTGCTACACTGTCACTTTCTGTGAAAACTTTGCTTACTGATACTCTTACATACGTTGAGATTACACTCACAGTAAACCTTTTCTACAGACATTTTATGCATTAAAATATCCTGGTAGTTATGACGGTTCATTAAGAAAGATAATCTTATAACAAAAAACAAAGTTTATATTGATAATTACTTACTGAAAGGAGATAATTACTTATGATTCTTAGTAGAAAGTGGTTAAACTTTAAATTTAATGAAATACTCAAACATCAAACAAAGAAAAGTTGTTCAGATGAAAATATCCAAACTTATTGAAACATACAGTGTTTAAGAATATAGATAGGTGGTGTGTTTCACTGGACTGTTGTACCCCAGACAGCTATTTAACATGTCTCTGTTATCACTGCCAGCCATGTGAGATCTGCTTCATGTCTGCTAGAATTCTCAAGCTTTTGTAAGAATGGTTACTGATGAGAAGCAATGATACCTTTGTTATAGTGTTTAGACAAAACGTCAAGTTGCTCACTTGTAACTTTTTATCATTGCAAGATGATAAATAATACAATGGCATTGTTGTAAAAAGATCTACATATTTTTTCAATTACAGAAAATTTCTAATGGTCACCATAACATCCATGTCCTCTAATCACCCTTAAATCTATCTTATCACTCATCAAATTCATAATAACCTTCACCTCTGACCTCTCCATTGACCTTAAACCACATCAATAACAGCTGGCATTACAAAATTTCAAAATAATAAATTCACATCTCATACAAACATTTATGTGAATCAAATTTTTGTAGGATATTTTGGGCGAGTCCAGAACACTTAATTCAAA